GAAATCAGAGCTTATTAAGACGGGGGCGAAGACAAAATTCACAGCGCCGCGTTTAAAGTTGCAAGATAGACATGGAGCCCAAAGACGCAGGGAGTACAACGCCGACAGCGGAAGTCTTCGTATATATGATATTGCTCAATGTAGTGATTGTGGGATTACTACGTACTCGTTCACTGCGACTGCGCAGAGTTTCTTAATACTTAATTAAATATAGTACACGTACATGCACCTCGCATGTCTGTAAATTTCTAGTTAGCATAATAAAATAAAATTTTCCGCGGATTTGAACCATAATCTCTTTAGTTGCGAGACCATACGTTGAATTTTCTTCACCAATACGCCATCAGCGATTGATGTTAAGAACTACATTTATTTATTTTAAGTAAACCCTTTTTAAATGTTATAATGAAAGAATGTCGTTTTCCTGACCTCATTCGATCAAGCGGGAAATTATTTTAATTCTTTGCTCAGTGAACATGATATCTCGTTCAATGAAAATTGCTTTCCTAACTCCACAAGTGGCTCATTTTTCAACTATAGTAAGATTTACCACGATGTACCAATATTCGTATGAGGAAAGCCAAAGCTTTTTTGGAATAACTTTCTATGTCATAAAAAATTCACGGAAATAAGCATTCAAAAAAATTGCAGCCACAAGAGGAATTTGCGGGTTTTTCAATGTGCTCTTCGAACGCTTCAGTGAACAAATGTAACATGCATGAAATGAGATCATGACAGTAATCGTACTCTAGAAGAGCAAGCATATTGGAACCGATATTTTAGGGACATAGTCGATTTTCCGGCTGTCATTGAAGAACGAAAGAATTAATTAAAAGTTCTTTAAAAAATGAAATTCGTTGGAATAATGTTCTTTGGTGTCATACTACATTACTTTTTGGCAACTGTTGTTGGCGAATTTCATTCCATCGAAGCAGGGGATCCTGAAATAAGGGATGCGGCAAGGCCACGTGGGATTCTTGCTCCACAACAGGCAGCCGAAGTAATTTACCGAAATATCCTAAGCGGTATAACCGACCGTCCAGAGATTGGTCAGATAGCTTTCCTCTATCTCCATGGCGTTGACCCAAATATCATTTACGGAAACGGTAACGTGAAAAACGCAATCAAGGAGAAAAAACTGGGTGCTAAACTTATTCCCGCAAGGCCGAATGAACGACCCGGCTTTTGGCCAATTAACCCTAAGAAGTCTAACATTTTGAATGCTGTGCCGAATCGAAGTGATCAAAGAGGAGAACGCAATTTTGGTCACGCTGAGCACAAAATTCTTGCCCAGCTAGAAAGTCTGCGAGAAGGATTTGCGCAGAACTCGAATAACCGAGCCGTTTGTCCGGAGTATGTAATTCTCGCAACTCACTATCGTCCCTGTTATGAATGCGCTAACGACTATGTTCTAGCCAAGGAAAACTTCGCCCAAGGGAAATGCCCGACTACAGCTTTCTATCTTTATATTACAGGGACATATGCTCCCGGTACCGATTTCAGTTGGGCATGGCCGAATATTGAGAATTTAATAACGTCAAATCGTATCCATTTATTGCCCTATCCCACGGTCCCCCCACAACCGGTATAGAGGCAAAACCACTTGCTATTTAGTTTGACAATTAGAAGTTTTATGCGGTTTTTCATTATATCAGTTATAGACATTGACTTAAATTGGTTGCCTACCAGGGACGATCCATGTCGCTGACGCTCGATAGTTTGATACCCCTAACTTTATACCACCTAAAATTGGCGGGACATTTACTAAGACTTTCTTTGTGTATATAGCCAGAAAATATAGGTATAAAAATTAACCGGCAATCAGAAGCCGGATCATCGACAAAACTTCCAGTTATCACTTTCTTCATTTCCAATGACTTTGGCACTGAAAAGCTTATGTAAAACATAACTGTTTTTTATTATATCTATGAAAAGTAATTCTTTTTTTTCCGCAGACACACGTTTTTCCATCAACTGTTTAAATTACAATTTAAATTTTTTCGCTTTTTTATACCATTATTTTTGGAAGAGAAGGAACAAATGATTCGAGACGCATGATAACTTCGTTTTGTCCATGCGCCTCATAACGTCTCAGATGAGCTGAAGGCGTGTGAGGTGGTGTAAAATCCCAGCATTCAATAGTGACTCGATTCGATTCGAATATGATTCGATTCAGGCAGCTTTAAACTCTTCTCCAGACCTCTTTTCAGATGTGTGCGGATTAGCGAAAGGAAACTTGGATTATTTGTCGGATCTGTGGTCGGATGACGTATACATTTTTATGACGTATTTCCGTATTTTTATTCAACAACAGGAACTATTATTCTAGGAGCAACAACAATCTCACCAACCTCGAATGCTAATTAACCCGCCTTATAGATTTATTGCACAGATTAGAACAGATTAATCTTGGATTAACTAAATGAGAACTGGCTTAATGAGGAGTAATAATAAGGAAATATATATGTATATATAATATGATTAATGGAAGAGCAACAAGGATGCAATAGCTACTTCTGGGATGCATAATTTATTTCTCATCTTTTGGGCATTGACTCTTGCTGTAAAATAACTCATTTGATATACCCATTGGTGCAATAGAAGTGGAATTAAAGTAGGTTTATCACTTTTTACTTTTTATTAATGTTTGTAAGTATATGTAAATTCTGATTCATCTATTTTTGAAAGCCTTGCAAAATATTTCCAGATGAGTTATACGTATGTGTATTGAAATTTATTGTATTTAAAGGTAATATAATTAAACAATTTCTATTAGGGAAGTCATATAATAATCTTTCAATTGTTGCTGACATAATTTTGCCCGTAAAATTACCTCCAATTTGCCCTCCCTTTGAGGCAGCACTTCACTGCGATAGAAACTTCTAGTAAGCCAACAGTCAATATTATAGAACCATATTATAGAACCATGTAAGCAAACAGTCAATATTATCGAACCATGTAAGCAAACAGTCAATATTATCGAACCATGTAAGCAAACAGTCAATATTATAGAACCATGTAAGCAAACAGTCAATATTATAGAACCATGTAAGCAAACAGTCAATATTATAGAATCATGTAAGCAAACAGTCAATATTATCGAACCATGTAAGCAAACAGTCAATATTATAGAACCATGTAAGCAAACAATCAATATTATAGAACCATGTAAACAAACAATCAATATTATAGAACCATGTAAGCCAACAGTCAATATTATAGAACCATGTAAGCAAACAGTCAATATTATAGAATCATGTAAGCAAACAGTCAATATTATAGAACCATGTAAGCAAACAGTCAATATTATAGAACCATGTAAGCAAACAATCAATATTATAGAATCATGTAAGCAAACAGTCAATACTATAGAATCATGTAAGCAAACAGTCAATATTATAGAATCATGTAAGCAAACAATCAATATTATAGAATCATGTAAGCAAACAGTCAATACTATAGAATCATGTAAGCAAACAGTCAATATTATAGAATCATGTAAGCAAACAATCAATATTATAGAATCATGTAAGCAAACAATCAATATTATAGAATCATATAAGCAAACAGTCAATATTATAGAACCATGTAAGCAAACAGTCAATATTATAGAACCATGTCAGCAAACAATCAAAATTATAGAACCATGTAAGCAAACAGTCAATACTATAGAATCATGTAAGCAAACAGTCAATATTATAGAAGCATGTAGGCAAACAGTCAATATAAGATAGAACCATGTAAGCAAACAGTCAGTATTATAAAATCATGTGTCAATATTATGAAATCATGCAAACAAACAGTCATTATTATAGAATCATGTAAGCAAACAGTCAATATTATAGAACCATGTAAGCAAACAGTCAATATTATAGAAACATGTGTCAATATTATGAAATCATGCAAACAAACGGTCATTATTATAGAGTCATGTAAGCCGTATGAAGTTCATTTAAAACATCAAGCGATTCGGTCAAAAGATCCTTTATAGCTGGCAGACTATGAGAATTGTCCACCAATTCCCTTTCGGCCAGTTTCGGCCTATGTTTGCCTTTCTCCCATTGTTTAACGTAAGCAGTGCTTCCCAAACAAATTTTTAGTTTCCTTTGGAAAAGGGCAAAATTCCTTGCATTTTAATAAAATTCCTTACACTTGTGAACTACAATTATGAATTATTACTGTCGGATTTTTTTCAAGAAAATAAAACTGTTTGAAAAAAATTGATTACAAGAGTTACAAATTGTAACTTTCCAGGGCTAATTAACGGGAGACGTTTTCCAGGGCTAATTAACGGGAGAAGATTGAAAAGATCCTAAAAACTCTTCAGAATTCCTATTTCTTAGGAATTATCCTCAAAAATGTGTTGGCCATGTAGCTCAGTTGGCAGAGCATCGGACTAGTATACCGAGGGCCGCTGGTTCGAATCCTGCCGTGGTCAAGTAGAATTTACTGTTTGCCATGGCAGGCCGCATATATATATATATATATATATATATATATATATATATATATATATATATACACCCATTTGAAAAAACGTTGGGCGCAGATAGATAGATAGACACTCTAAGTCTAATTAGAATTGCATGGGATTTCAATCATATTACACAAAATATGCAATTCGATAATTAGATTTCGAATATATATCTATCTGCGGCCAACGTTTTTGCAAATGGGTGTATATATATATATATATATATATATATATATATATATATATATATATATATAAATATAAGCACCCTGTAAATAACTAACTTTATTTTACAAGACTATGTCTAAAAAAAGGTCATATATATATAACAATTTCAACCGCCCATTGAAATAATCCTCGTATATTATCATTATGATATATTACAATTAGTTGCGCGCATCACTGACCGCGATATGAAACTGGACGCAAATCTAAGACAATACAAAAATATGGGAGATTTTTCTTTCTATTGTTGCCGTTTTCAGTTGACAAACTCTCTGATATTAAACCAAAGTCTTTGATTTGACTATTCATTAATAATACGTATTTTGTCATTCGCACCTGTCATATCAACATTCAGTCTCCAGGTGTTGTTCTTCGGAATATGGATGTGAAATTCATGACCACTGGGCAAATGTAGCGACATTTTATCTGCGTCAAAATCTAGGATTAACTTAACCTCGTCACCTTGTTTGGTCAGATTTACTAAAGTATTGTAATAAGTACGTGAACCTTCTTCCCATGCTCCTTGATAACCATCAGACCCGAGTGCCCAGCCATATGAACCACGCCATATATATGAACTTCTATCAGGTGGTACGAAATCTCCTTTAACTATTCCAATGAACATCCAATCATTATCTTTAAACGACTCCAACTTCAACTTGAGATTCACAATTCCTTGTTGGTAAATATTTTCACCAAGAACATATTTGTGTTCCCGTGCTCCACAATGAACTGCGACTTTCCCGTCTTCCTGAAGAGTCAATCCTGGGCAGTGCAAGTTGAATTTCTCGTCAGACACAATCTCAGTTGGAAAGATTTCATCACTCAACCCAAGATAATCGACCAAACTGGAAAACCACTTCATTTGACTTTCTGGGAAGTCAGGTAACGATGCGGGTTTTTTGCCGCTTGTAATTTTCTTTTCCCTTAAATAATCCAAAATATAAGCAAAATGTTGTGGATTAAAATCAAAGAATACAGCGCCATCTTGATCACGCTCGACACCATCTTCCCAGCGACCGCTAAACATTGCAGCGAGCAAGGAACCTTCAATCTGACAGAGAGTTGATCTTTTTGTTTTAAACTTTTGTCCACCAACGTTCAGATGAATGATATCATCGTCTCTGACTACGAAGGCTTGCATTCGTTTCTTCTCTTCGTTAAACGCTTCGACTTCCGCGTTCATCTTGACTCTCTCAGCTTCGATAATTTCGTCAAATTCATTCTTAAATCGCTTCACTAACCCGTCAAATTTCGTCAATAAATCTTCGTTGCTCATTTTGACACGTTGTCAGCGGAATAGAAATGACTTTCAGTTTAGTTTAAACACAGTATTTGTAAAGAATAATCGTACTATGTGAACTAGTATTTACTAGTAAGACTACCAGGCCTTCTTCTTTACCTTCAGGGTGTTTCCACTTCAAAACGTCAAAAACCTACTAGGGAACAGGCCCCCAACAGGCCTTTTACTGTTTTACAGTGCACTCCACCCGAAGCCCGATGTCCAATGGTGTGCTTGTTATAAACTCCCAAGGGCAATGTCGGTTGTAAACTCGATATTTCGTGCTAATCTTTTTAAAGGCAAAGTGGCAATTGTGACTGGAGGTGGTACTGGAATTGGGAAAGCAATCACACAAGAGCTTCTTCATTTAGGAGCGAAAGTTATCATTGCATCTAGAAATGAAGAAGTACTTTGTGCTTCTGCTAAAACGATGACAATTGATATACCAGATAGTGTGGTAAAGGCAGTACGATGTAATATTAGAGAGGAATCACAGGTTAATGTTGTATTATATTAATATGCTTCTATACGTTATGATGAGTTATTACTATGCTTCAGGCAACAATTTAAGAATGATAACATACTGTAAGGATAAGGGTGTTTGATCTTTCATTAATTAACATATTAGCTCTACCGCCACCCCCCCCCCCAGGGATGATCTAGAAGCTTAATTGGGGGGGGGTGCATATTCATATATTCGTCCTATGCCCGATTGATTTCTTTTGATAGCGATTGTTTTTAGTTTTTACCCTCTTTTAAACTTGAATATTTGAATATGCACCCCCCCAATTAAGCTTCTAGGTCCGTGCCTGCCCCCCTTGCCCTACCTTGTTTCTAGGTCTGGTTGGAAAGTTTACAATAGACTGAATAGAGCTAAAATTGATTTCATTCATCACCTGCTAACATGCATGCCCAAGAATGAATACTATCAAACCACTGCTCTCTCATGCAACTTAATTGCTATGCATTGCAATAATAATGCACATGTATTGATGCGGAAGCCTGCTTTTTACTTAATGAACAAGCTCACTAAGAGGCTGCAAAAATCTGCAAAGGACACTTGTCTGAGAGAATTCTATACATCCTCTCCTGAGAAAATTATTAAAAAGTGAATCATTGTTATGTAGCTTTATACAAATTTTTTCTTCACTCAGACCAACCACCTAGCCCAAAGGTTTTCTTTGCATGGCCCCCTTTCCCCAAAATCCTGTCATTATCAATATCATCAGCACTTTTACTGTTAATGCCTTCTCTAGTGGTGGCCAAGATAGCTAGGTAATTTGGTTTATAAGACTATAAATTTAACATTTTAAGCAATACCTTATCATATGTACATAACAATATGAGGCATGAATAATGACATTGACACATTATATTATCCGCCATACATGCAACCTTTCTTTTATATGAAAATCACGTCCCAGCAAGTTGGTGCCTCTGTTTGCTAATAAACACTTCAAAATATGCAAAAACCACTAAGTATCCTCAGTATCAATTCTTGTATAATTTGTGTTTGATTAATTTCAAACTGTATCTCCAGCTTAATTGAACACACAATCGGCCAAGTCTACAACCCACTTAACAATTTTGACCTGACATAGTAGGCACAACAGATGCAGCATAACCTTTTGGTAATTAAATTGCTTACTAACTTGTCAGAGGTACATTCCATACTGTTTAAGACTAGATAATTGCTTTGTTGATAGATTTTGTTTTGTCCCAACCAAGAGAACTGTACATAGTAATTCAACAACACTAAAGAATTCACTCACCTGATTAATAATTATTACAAACAAATAAATTTACCATGTTTGTATGCAGAGCTCTCCTAGCTAGGTCTTGCTTTACATGATCATTAAAGCGTCTGATCAACTCGAGTTTTATTTTCTTCTATATATCACTGTACAATTACGTCAATCTTGCGCAAGTACATGAACACCAGCATACATGTTTTTTCATTCAGCTATTGCAATTTTATTTGCATCAGCTCGAATTTGTGTTAATGCATTAATACCAGATATTTAACAATATGGCCGTGTCACGTGTATACTATTTGCATTTCACCATACAAATTGGCTTCAACGTTTAACCATAAAACACGCGGGAAAAATATGAAACTTGGCACCGTTTGCCGACCTTTAGATGATTACATCCATCACAGTTAATAGAATTTTAACCGTGCATCCATAGAGCAACTGTTCTAGCTTAACTGCCTAACATCTCCGCTGTAAATCGATTTATTTGCATTGGGTCTTCCTCAAAAAGGCAAATGAATCGATTACCAAACTCTGTCAGAAAACTGTACCCAATGCCTTTTCTCAACGTATTTTAGGGTAAAAATCCCAGGGAATTAGGTATAGCAATAATGCCAATATGCGTGGCTGGAAGGCAAATTAGTATACTTGCGACAGTGATCTTGTCACTAATTTCTGGTAATGAATGGTTAGGTCGAAAATTTAATGAAGATAGCATTGAAAGAATTTGGGAGAATAGACTATCTTGTGAACAATGGTGGTGGTCAGTTTGTTTGTGATGTTGCAGACATGAAGTCTAAAGGTTGGAAAGCAGTTATTGACACGAACCTAAATGGGACATTTAACTGTTGCCAGCAAGGTTAGTTAACTTATAAGTCTCAAACGACTACTTTCGTGCAGTGGCGGATCCATGCAGGATAAGTCATAATAAATTAGCAAAGCTATAACACGCAATCGCATTGGTAGATTTTTATGTAAATATATTTTTAAAAAATGAGTAACCAATAGACTTTTTCGATAATTAGCTACGTCACAACATTATCATTTTAAATTTAGAACCACCTTAAATAAAATGGATTTCATTATCAAAGCGTAATTATCGAAAAGGTCTATGCGTTGGTATTAAAGTATTCTGAATTGGAAATGACGACTTGCATAATAGACCAACTTTTGATTTAGGCGACAAAAAGGAAATTTCTGAAAAGAGCATACCATACTAGCCAAGCGAAGATAGCGAATTTTGTATACTTTTATATTATGGTCGGAGATTGTAACTAAATTAGTTACACATTTTCGCCTGTAATACAAAAGTATACAAAAATTGCCAACATCGCATTGCTATATTTTCCGTACTACTTCAGACTTTGCAGCTAAACTTGGCAATTATATTAATTTCAGTATGCTCTTTTTAGCTGTGGTGATTTATTTCCTTTTTGTTAACTAAATCATAAGTTGGTCTATTATGCAAGTGGTCCATTACAGGGTAGTTGCCAGATTACTGAATAAATTAACCAAATACTATCACCATAATCGTTGATTTCTTTGTTTCAAACAAAGCAATCCGGTAAAGAGCCGACTATAACAATGTTTGGCTTCTTTTTTCAGTAATCTGGCAACACTGACCATTAGGGCGTGTAATTTATTCTGACTTACCCTGAATCCGCCACTGCTTTCGTGAATGAGCTAAATATAATATGATGAATGATATAACGTATTGTACATGCTAAAGTATATAGATATATAAATAACTAAAGCCATAAAATAAATGTATGTTAACCTGTAGTGTACCAACAATGGATGAAAGATCATGGTGGAAGTATTGTCAATATTATTGCTACCGTTAGGAATGGTTTTCCCAGATTTGCGTATGTATATGATATATTAATTATATTGAATTATTTACATTTAAGTAACTTAGCTAAGTTAGCTTGTAGGTACACCACGTAAGTATTTAATACTGCAAAGCTTTCGGTCCATTAACCCGGGCCTTCATCAGTCCAATAAAGTCGATTGTCACCATGCAAGAATATTATTTACATTTAAATGCTATTATTATATGGCAAGCGTCACTTCCCGTGAAATGGAGCTCAGTGATTGGGTGAAAAGAATTAACTAAAAATGAAAACATAGTTAATGAAAACATTACTTTCCCGTAATGGATCGGCACTTTCTCGTAATGGACCGGCGTTACCGGCGATCCATTACGAGATGAAAAAGAGAGAAATTCTGAATGAAAAAGGCACAAATAAATGGTCAAGAGAAGATTTAATTGCTTTTGAAATTAATAAGACGTCTCCAGACAGTTTAGGTAAAGTAAATAATTCAATATTTTGTTTTTGTTTTTATCAAATGCTTAGCAGGCTACTAATATGAATTCATGCATTTCTTGTTTGTTTCAAGTGCCTTACATGCCTTATGCCATAAAATAAACATTTTATTAACCTCGCTTGCTCGGTCTTTACCGAAAAATATCGGACCTCGATCTTTTTGCACAAACCTCGCTCTACGAGCTCGGTCTGTTCAAAAAGACCTCGGTCCGATATTTCTCGGTAAAGACCTCGCGCTCGGTTAATAAGAAGTTATTAAAGGACGCATATAATATCCGTTAACTTTGCAAATTTAGGGAAAAACTAAAAAAAACTTGACCAAAGTTGAATTTTCGCGCGATTTTACGTTCCAAAGAGAATTCCACGAGAATCACGGAGGAGATTCTATGAAACGGGGGAATTCGAAAATGTTGCAATTATCCGACAAACCAACCATCCGACATGACCAGCTCCCTGACTTGACCACAGATAGACAACCATGCACTGCATGATAGAAATGCACTATATGATAAAAATAGTTTCCGCGCATCGGCTCTGCTTCTAACAATGGGGCCCCATTATAACATAAAAAGCCTAAGTTTCTCAAACATATAAAAACCTCATAAACCACAAAAAGCTCATATTCGTAAAGAAGTAAAGTGTTGTGAGACAGACAAACTAGAAGTAGAACGGAAGTGAGACAGCGCATTTTCATTTTATCAGGATCTCATAATTATGTATACAAGACAAGATAATACAATTATATACTCACGACGATTACATGTGTTTTTTAAACCACAACGGCTTTTACAAGCGCGCATTTTTTTGTGCTAGCGTCTTTAACACCCAAGCCTCACTTTGGTGTAAAGAGAGTATAATTATTGCTTTGAAGTGAGGGGTCTTGGTGATAAAGCAACAACATAAGGAAAACCCCCAT